GAACCTCTGCCATCTCCCTCCCTCCCTCCGGGCCAGGAGAACCTCCACCCCCTTTCTGTCCCACGCACCCTGCCCCACCCCCCTCCCAGGGCCCCGGCCCCGGCCCCGCCCTCACTGAGCGTGACGTCGCCGTAGAGCGTGGTCTCGAAGTAGCCGGCGAAGCCGTGCAGCACCGTGTTCACCTCGACCGCGAACTCCAGCTGCCGGTACTGGCTCTTGTCCCGGTCTGGGTCTGCCCAACAGGGGAACAATTTGCTCACAGGGGTGTGGTCTGCTCAGGCCCCACCCACTTCCAACCCAGAGGGGTGTGGTCCACTCATGCCCCACCCCCTTCCTGTCCCACAGGGATGTGGTTAGCTCAAGCCCCACCGCCACCCAGAGGGGTGTGGTCACCTCAGGCCCCGCCCCCACCCCCTACCTGGGTGCGGGTGGTGGAAGGTGAAGCAGGGCTGGGGCGGCGCCAGCTGGTGGAAGTTGTGGAGCCGCACGACGTAGGGCATCTCGAACTGCGCCTGGGGAGGGGGGAGAGAGACCTGGTCAGAGCGCGACCCCCAACCCCTGCTGCACAGCACGCGGGCAACCCCTGACCGGCACACAGAGCTGGGGGGGGTTCAGACAGGCTGGCCCTGTGCTGGGGGAATGGGGGACTGGAGGGGGCTATGGGTGCAGGGAGCTCACCTCAGGGTGCCGGTCCTTCTCGCGACAGGCCCGCACCTCGTTGTACAGCTTGGAGGAGGAGATGGGCGCCAGGAAGGACGTGTAGGTGCTGGGGATGCTCACGCCGCCCGCTGGAGGATGGGGGAGGGGTGGGTCAGACATCATGGCAACAAGCACCCCCCACAAAAACTGCCTCTCCCCCACAGCTCCCCCCGCCCGACCCACAGCTCCCCCTACCCCAGAGCCCACTCACCCCGCAGGCAGTGCTGCGCCCCGTCCAGGCACTCGGGGGACAGCTCGTTGTCGGCAAAGGAGCCCAGCAGCTCCGACACCAGGAGATCGGCCTGCTCAGGTGCCGACCACTCCCGCATGTCGGACGAGACCACGGTCACCTGTGAGCCCCACTCCTCGTACTGCCAGCTCTCCAGTCTGTGGGAAGTGTGGGATTAACTTGGGGAACTGTCTGCCCCTGGAACCCCGCCTCCCCGTTTTCACAGTGCCAGGTCTCCATTCTGGGGGTGGTGGTGCAGGGTTAACCCGGGGAACTGCCCGCCACTGGATCCCCCTTTGTACTGCCCGCGCTCCAGTCTGCGGGGAGTGAAGGGTTGTACATAAATCACTGCATTGAGCGCCTTCGCATAACGGTGAATCATTTCATACGACTTTGTATTAGGTCTATCCACGTGTGACCCGTTTTCATGCTACTTTGTGTCAAGTCCTTTGATATGGGAACTTTGTATCAAATCCTTATATAGAAACTTTGTATTGAGCCTTGGTATAATGTTATCGCCTCTAAGGTAGTTAAGGTAGAAGTGTCTTTTTGCCAGGAGTAGAATAACATCTCCCCGTTTTAACCAATTGCCCTGTTGAATGAACGAGGTGTGAATGGGGCAGGCGTGGAAGGCAGCACCTCCAGACAGCTGCAACCCTTGGAGAGGGGATGGAAGCCAGACCCAAGAACAGTACAAGTTGTCCAGTGGGCTCACTGAAGAAGAGCAGACCTATTGATGGCCTTGGGGGTTAGAAGCAAACACCTGCTTTTGGGAACACCCTCTTTGCAGCGTTGGGACAACACCCAGAGGGAAGCAGCACAAAGGACCAACAGACACAGACTTTGCATCTGGTACAGATTGGCATGAGAGGGAAGCTGCTATAAATGTGAGGTGTCTTGCAGAGGGCCCCGGGTCTCGTCTCGTCAACATGAGAGCATCGATCCGGATCGGCTCCCACCTCCCCGCCCCATCTAACTCACCTGGCCAGTACAGTTAAGGGGAGCAACTAGTTGGTAACAAGATGGAGTGTGCGTGTAATATAGATCATATGCACATGATACAGTGTTGATTTATTACCAATAAATGTGGCGCTTTGCCTCATTCCTCCTGAAAAGATCCTGTGCAGTACTTAACAATAGGGTTAACCCATGGAACTGCCCACCACTGTATCCCCCCCCACATGCCTACTGCCAGTTCTCAGGGGAGAAGGGATGGATACACACACAGACAATGGGCCAAGGTCTCGGGGGGAGGGGGGGTTTATAGGGAAGGGCCGGCACGAGAGTGGGGGCACTCACGTCACCACAGCATTGGGGTTCTTCTCCACGGCGTAGATCTTCACTCGCCGGCCGGCCTGACGGGATGCCCGCAGTGTGGCATTTACCAGGGGGCCCCGGCCAGCCCCCAGCACCATCACCACCCTGGGAGGCAGAGAGAGAGAGGTCAGAGGGCAGCACACAGGGGGTGTCATGGAGGATGCCCCCCCATCTGGGGGGGAGGGTCAGAGCCATCTTCAGGGGGCATCATCGGGGCAGGTTGTCAGGGGTGCCATGTCCCATGGGGCAGCACCAGGTGGGAGGGGTATAACTGAGGGGCAGGGAGTTGCCATGGAGAGGCTGGGCATCACTCACTGCACATTTGTCTCCTTCTCCTCTTCGGGCACCCGATCCAGCAGGCACCTGTAGATCGCCTGGGGGGCGGGGGGAGAGGTAGAGGTCACTGGGGAGCCCTGCAGCCCCCCTCAGACTCTGTCCCCACACCACACTCCTCCCCCCCAGCCACACCCCACCATCCCTGAACCCTCACCTATCAGGCCTTCCTCCCATTACCCTCACCACAGGCCCCACCCCTTCCCACGGCCCTGCCCACCAAAGCCCCTCCCCCCAGTCACAGCCTGGCTCCCCCTCACCTGCTGGTACTGGGAGTATTTGATGGGGTCCTTCTCAAAGACCTCGTAGGTCTGGGACTCCAGGTTGTCCATCAGGGGCTGGGGGAGTGGGGGGAGAGCAGCGTGAGGAGGGTGGGGAGGAGGAAGACCCCCCCCCATTGCATTTCGGAGCAGGTGACATTCACTCTGAACCCTAATGACAGATGCCAAGCCAAGTGTTCACTCTGGGCCCTAATAATGAACCTTGACATGTGACGTTCACTTTGAACTCTGATGACGGATGCATCAACATTGCATAGTTATGGGGCGTTCCCTCGGAACCCCAACAACGGCCACCCAATAACCCACAGGCGTAACAATGACGGTAGGCGATACTGCATGAATGAAGCTGAGTCATCGGCCGTAAGGCCCGATGACTATGCTCTAGCAGAATTCATCCTGAACCCTCATGACATTGTGGTGCGATGCTGCTCGCAAATCCTGACACGTTCCGATGTTAACTCTGAACCCTAACGATGACACACGAGAACCTCGGTCCTGTGCCCTAGTTATGCCGCTTTGATACTCCTGAGTCCTGACCCCAGCAGGAGGCAGCATTCATCCTGAACCCTACCGATGACGGCCTAGAATACTGGAGCCTAGGATGGTGGCTATGATGCTAGCCCAACTGGCACTGACCCTGGACCAAGCCAGCTTAACCCTGAACCCTAACAATGGGGGGGGGGAATGGGATGCTGGTCCAAGCTGTAACAATGCCAGTCGGCAATGTTAGCCCTGATCTTGGAAGAAGCCGATTTGTGAGCCATGGGTCTTAGCCCCAGTCCTATGATGGCGTTCACCCTGAGCCATGCCGATAACCGAGGGGCAGCCCCCGAACCATGCCGTGCTGTTCGCCCTGAGCCTCGCCGATAACCCAGCGGCAGCCCCCGAACCATGCCGTGCTGTTCGCTCTGAGCCACGCCGATAACCGAGCGGCAGCCCCCGAAACATGCCGTGCTGTTCGCCCTGAGCCACGCCGATAACCCAACGGCAGCCCCCGCACCATGCCGTGCTGTTCGCCCTGAGCCACGCTGATAACCGAGCGGCAGCCCCCGAATGATGCCGTGCTGTTCACCCGGAGCCGCGGTCGCTCACCTGCAGGGGGGACTGCAGATAGTCCTCGTAGCCCTTGGCGAAGAGCTCATAGGCGGAGGGGGGCGGCCGGTTCTGGCTCAGATACTCCAGGTACTGCAGGTAGGAGCAGAACTCCTTCTCGGGGTGGTGGTGAGCGCCCCACACGATGAACTGCACCTCCAGCTGGGGGGCAGGGAAGGCATTAGACAGGGACAACCCCCCGCCCACAGCCTGACCTCCAGCACGGGGAAATGAGCCCCTGGGATACCACGCCCCCAGAGCGTAGAACCCCCACACTGAGGGGGGATGGAGAACAGGGGTCATACCCCTCCTCCACCCCAGTGCTGGGAGCTTCCCCCCAGCAGTGCCCCCAGCTAGGAGGGGGCCTGGAAAGCTCGGTGGGTGTGATAGGAGACAGGTGCATCTTGGGAAGGAGGGAGCGGGGCTCAGTGACAGAGCCAGGATCAGGGAGGGTGGGGTTCTGGGTGGCCGGAGCTTGGCCAGGGGATCTCAGTGGGTGGGGCTCAATGGGCGTGGCCAGAAGAGCTGGGTGGACCAAGCCTGGGCAGGAGCAGGGCTCTACCTTGAGCAAACGGAAGACCAGGCGCTGGTGCATCTTGGAGAGGACGGGAAACCCCTTCTTATTGGTCAGGAAGATGCTAGTAGGCAGGATGGCTGCTTTGATTGGCTCCCCCAGCCAGCGGTCGATGACATGATTGGAGGGCAGGTCTGGCCCCACCTCCAGAGCTGGGGCAGAAAACAGGAGTCAAGAAACCTGCCAGCCCCCTGCCCCAGTGCTGCGAGCTTTCCTGCAGCAGTGTCCCCACCCCGAACTCACCCACTGCGATGCGCTTGTTGTAGTCACAGAGGGTCCGGAAATTGTGCCACCTGCAGACAAAGGGGGGGGGGGCAGTGAATAGGGGGACAAGATCCTGCCCTCCCCCAGCATCCCCCAGTTCCCCTCTGAGCATTGCTCCCCTCCCGCCAGATCCCTAACCTCAGCCCAACAGGACCCCTCCCCGCATCCCGTGTGCTTGCCTCAGCCGGGAGCCCTGCGCACTTCCCCCTGGCAGTGCCCCCCGGCCCCTCACCATATCCACGTCTTCTCGTCCCCCGAGCCATCCTCGGGCACCGGCACCGGCTCGTTCCCAATCAGGTCGTCCCGCAGATCCTCGGGGGCCAGTAGAGGGACCCGCATCCAAAACTGGGGGGGAAAACAAGGAGTTAGTGGCAGACGCACCCCCTGCCTGCCCACTCCGCCCAGCCCTGCACTCACCATGGTGCTGTGGTGCCCGGTGTGGATGTGGGTGCTCAGCACCCGGGCCAGGTTGGGGTTCTCGCCCTGCGTCAGGGGCAGCAGGAATGCGGGGAGCCCCAGGTACGCCCCAAAGTTCAGCTCCTGCAGCATTGCCTGGGGAGAGAGGAGATGGTGTACCCCCCACTCATTGGCCAAGAGTAACCCTCCGCCCCCCCCCAAACCTCACCACCAGATGTTATCCTCCCCCCACCATGACACCTCCTCCCCACCAACCTCCCCGGGGCTGTTATCCCCCCCCACTGGGGCTGCCCCCCCTCCACAGGCTCACCGCCTCCGAGTTCCTGCGGACCGCCTCCACCTTGGCGTCAGGGCGGATCCAGGGGGAGAGCTTCCCCACGATCAGCGTGTTCCAGTCTGGGGGGGTGAGAGCAGGTGAGATCCACAGCACAAGGGGCACAGAGAGCACAGGGACCCAGCAGGGTGGGCGGGACGGACATGGCACCAGGCAGCCCAGGGGGAGGGCGCTCTCCCTGGCCTGGGGGGCCCAGATGCTGCTTGGCAGCCCAGCGGGGGGCACAGACAAGGCAGGGGGGCTCCAAGGCCAGGACTGCAGGGGGATCCCAGCAGGGGGCGCTGTCTTGGGGGCAGAGGAAGGCACAGCCGGCGCTGGGGGGCTCACCTCTCCCCGAGAGCAGCAGGTCAGAGCGGGTATGGGGGCCGGGGCGGCCACGGGCCGGCTGGTGGGTGAACTCCCGGCGGTAGCGTGGGTGGAAGACCGGCATGCACAGGAAATCGAACCTGCGGAGAGACGGGGGATGGGGTGGAGGGCAAGGGCCTGGGAGCTTCGTCCAGTGGCGGGGGGTCCCCCTGGGTGCGATCCCGCCAAGCCCCACGCTCACCCAGGATGGGGAAGGGGTCGCAGTGGCGGGGGGATCCCCAGGCCGCCGGGGGGGAAGGCAGGGGGAGTTCCAGACTTCA